GCCTCGCACCAAGGACCTATCCGCGTCATCATTTACCCAGAATGCTTTGCGTGTAAATAAAACGGCCCCATCCGTGCAATATATTTTTAAACTTTTACTTTAAAAATAATAAAAAACTAAACAGCCTACATTATTTTTACAGTCTTTATTTTACAGTTTAAATATATGTTTATCAAATTAAGTCTAATTTTACAACTAATCATGGATCCCTTTAAAAAAAACAATCATGTCTAAATCCTAACAAACAAAAGGTCTGAGAATTGTTTTTAAAACACTGATATATTCTTGTTTCCTCGCAGAACGAAGCTCCGCTCTTCTCCAAAGATGGACACAAGTTCTTCTTCACCAGAGCGATCCCTCAGGGTGGACGAGGAAAGTTTTTCCACATCTCCATGTCCACCTCGTTGGTGCGTGCAGACAGATGAACGTTTATGGTTTGACTCAGTGATACTTAAGGATTTTGTTTTGGGTTTTTTCCAGCCTAACACGAGTACAGACATCCTTCAGTCCCTCACGTCTGGAGACTGGGACGTCACCAGCATCTTGGCCTACAATCATGAAAGGAAMCTCATGTAAAACCTCGCTCACATTCACATTTTTACCCATCAGGGCTGTGGGATCTGTTGTTTCTCTAACKTTTGGATGATTTACAGATACTTTCTGAGCACAGAGGACGACCCCAAGAGAAGACATTTGTACAGGTAGGTTTCTAAAGTTTCCTAAATGCTTCGGATTCTCTAAGAGCTGCTGAAATTGATTTATTTTTCTATATTTTATGTGTCCTGCAGCGCTGACACCATCCCTCCTTTTAACCGCTGCTGCCTGTCCTGTGAGTTCAAGTGTGGCTACGTGGACGTGTCGTTCAGCCACAACATGCGCTACTTCCTGTTGAACTGCAAAGGTGGGCTTCATTTCCCTTCGCTCAGCAGAAACACATGGGTCAGGTCCAGAGGATGAGTTTGAGGATGTTTGTACCTCAAACTGCTGCTGCTAAAAGGAGAGGAGGGGCAGTGATTTGTGTGTTGTTGTTGTTGTTGTTGTTTACTGAATGCTTTTTTGTCTTTAATACCAGGGAATAGCATCTCTATTTCTAAGGAATCTAATTTGTTGAAGCAGCTCACTTCACAGAGAACCAGTGCCACTGGCTCTCCTCATTAATTGGATCTTTAGAGAGTAGCTCTGCTGTGAAATAATAAGCTTCTCTGTATTGAGAGGAAAGTTAATTATTAAATGTAAAGCTGACAGGAGGACTGTCTTCTGTTAGGAGGAAAAGGTTGTGTTTCAGTATCTCCTTTTTTTTCTTAATTTGTCTTTTCAGGCCCAGATATACCGAGCGTGGCCGTTTACAGCACCGAGGACAGACAGAGTGAGTTTCAAGCAACCAAACGAGCTGATTTTACTGCTGATTCTTAAACACAACGACCTTTTTTAACATCTCTTCGTCCACAGAGGTGTTCGACGTGGAGACAAATGAGAGAGTAAACGACACGTTCAACAACATGCAGATGCCCAAAGTGGAGAATAAGACCATCACCATCGATGACTACAGTATGTGTCCGCATGTGTTCTGATATGAAGCAAACTATTGATTTTATAAGATGTACTTTCACAGTTTTCTTTGTGTTGTAGCTCTGACCATGCAGATTCTGAAACCAGCAGGGTTCATAAATACAGCCCACTATCCTCTGCTGCTGATAGTGTGAGTGTTAAATTTATCAGATTGTTCAAACTGCGTTAACAATTAAATGCTTTGGAATAATTTTACAATCATTGGAGTTCAGTTGAGTATGGACCGTCAGATGAAGTTCACTGCTCTGTGGAACATTTGTGTTTGTTGTCTGAAGGTTTTCCTCTTTACTTAACGCTGGTAAAGTTGGTAAATTGGCACATCTCTGTCATAAAATGAGCCTTAAGCACTACAGGTTCTGCAGCTTTCAAATTCCTATAAGAAATTCAGACAGAATTACCTCTTGGATGCCAAAGTTTTAAACCAAGATCTTTAAAGATTCGATCTTAGAGTAAATGATGTGGATGATTCTCAGCTACTACCACACCAAATATTAGCCCAGTATCTGTAAAGCTGAATGAAATATAGCTATTTTTGCGTTGGTTAAAATCAACTAGCTGTGGCGGCCATCTTGAATCCGTTTGACTTCAAAATGTAAATAGTTGTAGGCGGGTACTCAGAGAATACTTTCTGAAAGTTTCATTAAAATTTGTTCAGTAGTTCATGAAATATTTTGCTGACACAACCAAACACACCCACGGTGCACCGTGTGTGTAAAAT